GTACCCTGTAGGGGTAGTGTCAATGTCTGCACTCTGCAGACAAAGAAACTAAGGCATGGAGAGATTAAATTACTTCCCTAGTTGCCAGCTGGTGGATGGCTGGCCTGGGTCTATAAGGCTCCAACCTGCCTCAAAACTGGGAAGAGTTAGCCTGATGGTCCTCGGCCAGAAAGTGGCGTGGACGGTATTCCAATCCCGTTCTGACCAAACAGGAGTCTTGGACTGGTAGACTATACTGGTAGACTGTGCGACCTTGGGCTGGTTGACTTAACCTCTCTGTGCCTCCATTTTCTCATCTATAAATTAGAGATAATAACCATCTCCGAAGGTGGTTGTGAAGATTAAATGAACTACTACTCTATGTAGAAAACCCAAAACAGTGCCTGGAGTAGCCAACATCTAAACTCTTAGCTCTTAAATTTGCCCTTGGAACACATAAAAATTGATCACAGGGCGCCTGGGTGGCTCAGGTGTTAAGCGTCTGCCTTTGGCTCAAGTAGGGATCCCACAGTCCTGGGATCAAGCCCCACATCAGGCTCCCTGCTCAGTGGGAGAGTCTGTTTCTCCCTCTCTCTCTTCCCCTCCCCCCTCCTTGTGCTCTCTCGCTCTCTCTCTTAAATAATTAAAATCTTTTAAAAAAATAAAAGAGGAAATGCAACTGAAATGACTAGAGGGCAGTGAGAAGGACTGGCCCAGCAGACGTCAGACGGAGTTGTAGCCTTTACCAAGATCAGTATGGTAGCATCATTATTTTTTTTTTTTTAAGATTTTATTTATTTGACAGAGAGAGACACAGCAAGAGAGGGAACACAAGCAGGGGGGAGTGGAAGAGGGAGAAGCAGGCTTCCCGCGGAGCAGGGAGCCTGATGCGGGGCTTGATCCCAGGACCCTGGGTTCATGACCTGGGCCCAAGGCAGACGCTTAACAACTGAGCCACCCAGGTGCCCCAGGAGCATCATTATAATGCTGGCTTAGCCAGTAGAGCATGTGACTCTTGACCTTGGGGTTGTAGGTTTGAGCCCCATGAGGGTTGTAGAGATTACTTAAAAAAATAATCTTAAAAAAAATAGTACATTTTCAGGGCGCCTGGATGGTTCAGTTGGTTAAGCGACTGCCTTTGGCTCGGGTCATGATTCCGGTTCCACATCGGGCTCCCCCTTCTCCGTGGGGAGCCTGCTTCTCCCTCTGCCTCTGCCTGCCACTCCCCCTGCTTGTGCTCACTCTCTCTGCGTCAAATAAATAAAATCTTAAAAAAAAAAAAGTACATTTTCATTTGTGCATTTGTCTTTCTCCTTTATTAGACTGATTTTCTGGAAGGCAGGAACTGTTTCTTTTTTTTTTTAAAGATTTTATTTATTTTTCAACAGAGAGAGAGACACAGCGAGAGAGGGAACACAAGCAGGGGGAGCGAGAGAGGGAGAAGCAGGCTTCCCGCTGAGCGGGGAGCCCGATGCGGGACTTAATCCCAGGACCCTGGGATCATGACCTGAGCTGAAGGCAGATGCTTAACGACTGAGCCACCCAGGCGCCCAGGAACTGTTTCATTTACTCTGGTATCCAACCTGTCTTGCACTCAACAGCTGCTCACACATTGAATGACTCTTTTCTCTCTTCCTCCAGAGAATTTGTATTTACTGAATAAATTAACTTTCATTTTCAAACAGATGATTTAAACAGCTTAAATTTTTCCTTCTTGTCCATATTAGCTTCATTTTTATTAATACTTTCTCAGTATAAGAAAATTAAAGTAGAATATAGAACATATAGAAATAGGAGAAAAAAGGCAAAAAATTAGCTGAGATCCCACCACCATTAGAAATTTGGTGATTTTTCTGGGGCACCAGGGTGGTGCAGTTGGTTAAGCTTCTGACTCTTGATTTCCACTCAGGTCATGATCCCAGGGTCCTGGGATCGACTCCCATGTTGGGCTCCATACTATGAGGAGAGTCTTCTTCAGGATTCTCTCTCTCCCGCTGCTCCTCCCCCTGCTCACTCTTTCTCAAATAAATAAATCTTAAAAAAAAAAATTTGGTGTTTTCCTATCAATGCATTTATGTTTATAGTTATATGTTTAAAAATGGGATTGTCATAAATTTTTAAAAAGAATGAAGCACAGTTTATATTTATTGCAGTTATTTTTTCCAATTTTTAACTTAAATTCTAGTTAATTAACATATAGTGTAATATTAGTTAAGATTTTTATTTATTTGTTTATTGAGAGTGAAAAACTTGTAAAGCAGGGGGAGGAGCAGAGGGAGAGAAGCCTCAAGCAGACTCCCTGCTGAGAGCAGAGCCCAGTGGTGGGGGCGGCGGGGGGTTTGATCGCATGGCCCTGAGATCATGACCTGAGTCGAAATCAAGAGTTGGACTCGTAACCCACTGAGCCACGCAGGTGCACCAAGATTTTATTAAAGTCTTTTTTTTTTTTTAAAGATTTTATTTATTTGACAGCGAGAGAGGGAACACAAGCAGGGGGAGTGGGAGAGGGAGAAGCAGACTTCCCGCTGAGCAGGGAGCCTGATGTGGGACTCGACCCCAGGACCCTGGGACCATGACCTGAGCCAAAGGCAGACGCTTAATGACTGAGCCACCCAGGTGTCCCATGAAGCATATATTTTTTTAAAGAGAGACACGGTAAGAGAGGGAACACAAGCAGGGGGAGTGGGAGAGGGAGAAGCAGGTTTCCCGCTGAGCAGGGAGCCCAATGCGGGGCTCCAACCCAGGACCCTGAGATCATGACCTGAGCCGAAGGCAGACGCTTAACCAACTGAGCCACCCAGGCGCCCCCCATGAGGCATATTTTAAAAATACGTTGAGTTCTTGAAATGTATGGAACAATTTCCAGGTAACCTGTTTTCCTCTCCAATGTCTTCACTAATAACATGCTGCGTATACCCTTCTATAGCTTTCTCTGTCCTCGCGTAATCAAACGCAGACAGGCACATGCACACATATACAGGGTTTTACAAAAACAAGATCATGTAATATATCCCCGCTTTTCTTATTTAGTAACAGCACAGATGTCCCTCTAAATCAGTTGGTATGGATTAACTGATTTTCAAGTCTGCCTGTTAAAATAGGTTAGGGATTCCAGTTTATTGAACCCTTCACTTATTAAAAGAAACTCACTTTGTTTCCAGGTTTTCACTATTACAGACAGTGCTGCAGTAAATTCAGTAGAAGACCATGAACACATTACATTATATAATCACACGCCTTGCTTTGGGGCAGATTCCCAGGAGTGGGACTGATACATTAAAAAGGCTTATTTTTAATTTTTCTTGAAAGGGGTACAATTTTAATAGATAACGAATGCTTTCCAAAAAATAAATTCTCAGTAGCGTTAGCACATTGGTTGTTTGCTATTTTGATGGTTATATAAAGAGATTCCTCCTTATCACCTTAATTTGCATTTTCCTGCAGAGGGTGGGTACTGGTGCCTTTTCATGTTTTTTTTTTTTTGCTATTTGGATTTGCTCTTCTGAGACTTGCCTATTACAATCTTTGCTCATTTTCTATTGTTTTTGTCTTATTTTATAATTAGTTTTTAATTATTAGCTCTTTATCATGTATGGCAAGTATATCTTCCTAACGTCTGTTGACTTTCACCATACAGTTTTAATTTCTTTGGTGATCAACTGTATCTTTTATTGGTCTGAGTTTTTGTTTCCCTAAAAGTCTCTACCTGTAGATGACCGTGGTAGTCGCCTATATTGTATTCTAGGTCTGTTTTATTGTTTAATTTAGGACCCTACACAATCTGTTAGCTAAATTTTTTCTTTACTGAGTCTACTTACATATGGGGAATCTATTTTCAGTCTCTATTCTGTAGCACTAATCTGTCTTTCCTACAACAAAATCACTGTTTCATTACCCTGTCTTGTGTGCTGTTCCTATTGTCTGAAAAGCAAGTTCCTCTTCAACCTCGTTTACAAGTTTCCCCACTATTTTCAAAATTATATTTTAAGATGATGTAATCAACCTCCAACCCAGTTGAGATTCTAATGGAAATGCAATGTGCTTGTAAATTAATCTTGGAATTGACTTTATATTGTTTTCCGCCTAAGATTACGTGTTCTTCCATACGCCCAGATCGCCCAGATCCTGCTTTGATCCTTCAAAAAGACTATTTTATACCTTTCCTTTTTTTTTTTTTTTTAAAGAAAACAGGAAGTCCCTTTTTACCTGAGGCGCGTCAACGGATCCGGTTTACGGGCGCGCGCCGGCCCCTTCCCCGTCCCTCGGTTCCGGGTTACCATGGGAATCAAGAATTGACGTCACTTAGGGCTTCCGTGCCGGACCCCGGGGTCGACCCTGAAGCGAAGGGCGGAGAGGTAGCTTTGCCCCGTCTACGCATGCGCGCTCCTGCTCCACTCCTCCCCGGCGGCAAATCTCGTTCAGCCGGGGTACAGCCGCGACCTCTCGCTTAATCCCAGCGAAGCTGCTCCCCGTGGGAGGAGAGTAGAAAAAGAATCGAACAAGCGACAGCCAATCCCATGACATTACGACGCAACTGAGAATGATTGACTCAACCAACTTCAACCAATGAGAAAGCCCTTTGCCCCTACGTCACAGAGTTTGCCCCACCCTATCCCCTCCTTTCTAGACTCCGAGCTCAGCTCGCGCAGTAACAAATGAAGTGCGCGCTGCGACACCTCCCAGCTCGCCAGGCTCGGCCGCCATTTCTTCGCCTGGCCTAACGGTCCGGCCAATCCCAGCGTGCATCGAGGAGGGCTAAGGCTCCACCAATCGGAGGCCGCCGATTTCGACCCCCTTGCCTCGGCTCGGCCCAATCCAGGCCTCGGACCCGTCGCCCCCGGCCCGCCCCCGCGGCGCCCTCTCTCCTCCCTCTTTGTGCGTCTCGCGCCGCCGCCGCCCGCCGCGTGAGAGAACGCGCTCCGCGGCAGCGCAGTCGGGTCCCCTCCCCCCGGAAGGTTCGCGAAAAAGAAGCCGCCACCGCCGCCTGAAAGGAGCCGCCGGTGCCGGTCCCCGGGGGCGCCATGGCGACCGGAGCGAACGCCACGCCGCTGGGTAAGCTGGGCCCCCCCGGCCTCCCCCCCCTTTCCGGGCCCAAAGGGGGCTTCGAGCCGGGGCCACCGCCTGCTCCCGGGCCTGGGGCGGGGCTCCTGGTGCCCGGGCCGCCGCCGCCCCCGCCCGTGGGCTCGGTGGGGGCCCTGACCGCGGCCTTCCCCTTCGCGGCGCTGCCGCCGCCGCCACCGCCGCCGCCCCCGCCTCCCCAGCAGCCGCCGCCGCCGCCGCCCTCCCCGGGCTCCTCGTACCCGCCGCCGCAGCCTCCCCCTCCGCCGCCGCTCTACCAGCGCGTGTCGCCGCCGCAGCCGCCGCCACCCCAACCGCCCCGTCAGGACCAGCAGCCGGGCCCGGCTGGCGGCGGAGGAGGTGAGTCGGGCCGAGAGAGCGCGAGAGGCGTCGCGCGGACGGGCCCGGCCGCCTGAGGGGCGCGCGGCGGCGGCGACGGCGGCTGCACGCGGCAGGGGCGCGCGCGCGCACGGGGAGGCCCCGGGCGGAGGCGCCACGGGGCGCGCGGCCCGGTTCTTGGGCCCCAAGTGCGCACGCGCGCTGGAAGGGGTGGGGGTGGGGAGAGCGGAGGGTTGCTGTGCGCAGGCGCAGTGTGGCGGCCGGGCTTTGTGGCCCGACTATAATCTGGGGGCGGGGGGGTGTGTCTGTCGTATTCTAGACCCTGGTATAGGAGAGCGGTGTCGAGTAGGTTGATTTGGTGGACGGGGTATTGGGTGTGCATGTCAGGAGGGCGTGAAAGGGTCAGCTGATAATGTGGAGCACCTCCTTCCTGGTTCTAGAGAAGGTCAAAAGGCAGAGAAGTAGCAAGAGTAGCTTTTCTTTCCATAGTAGGGCAAGGTTTTCACTACAGTGAAAGAAAGAGGTCGAAAATCCTTAGACTGTGGTTGGGTCTGGGAGGAAGGAATTTTTTCCTAATCTCCATTTATCTTAGGGAAGTCTGATATGCCTCCCCTTAGTTATTGGGGCTTTCCCCTGGGAAGTAGAACTGACTTATGTGTACCAGTGTGTATGGAGTTCATGGCTCTATCAGAGGAGGAGGATTTGGCTGCTGTTGTATAGCTTTTTTTTTTTTGTCGGACTTTGATACACACTCTAGGAGCTCGGATGTTAAGTGTCTAGTTGGCCAGGAAAATTGAATCCTTATCTTGGCTAAATTTCTGAAGAAAAAAGCGATCTTGTTGAAGAACTGGGCTTTTTCATTTAGCAAATCCTAGGTTTGGTTGTGTTCGGCCCATTTAGAAAGGTGACTGGTGGGGAGTGGAGGTGAGAAGAATCAGCAGTTTCCCCAATCTTGCTTTACCAAGGTATGATTATTCAGTATACCTTGTTTCCCCTGGGGCTCTTAAAACACTCATGGTTGATGTCGCATATCTGAAAGATGTGTTTGCTTGTTTACGTACTTCACGGTTTTTCTGGATACGTATTATAAATGTGAAATGTTACCTTTTCATATCCAGAGCCAGGTACCCTTGTGGTGGCCATGTGTCTCTGAATTCTCGGGTTTGTGTTCATTTTTTTGCCATATACGTTTTAGGTCGAGTTCTCAGTTTCCCAGTCTGCCGAGGTCGTGTCTAGTATCATAAGTATCCTGAACTGCCTGTTGGTAATTAGTTTGCTGGTTTATATTTGCATTTGATGGACTTTATCTGCCTTCAGACTTCCCAAGTAAGAAGCGGAAGAGGAGCCGCTGGAACCAGGATACAATGGAACAGAAGACGGTGATTCCGGGAATGCCTACGGTCATCCCCCCCGGACTGACGCGGGAGCAAGAGAGAGCGTATATAGGTAAATACACGTTCTGCATCCAAATACGTTGTCAGATTGATACGATTTATTCTGAGCAACATTTTACGTGTTATAAGTTGAGACCTTAAAGTCTTGTTCTTTTGAGATGAGATACGGTCAGGTGTACTTTCGTGCCTTGGACATAACCCATCAGTTTTTACTCTGTAAGTCCTGCATTTGAAGCTCCTTGTTTTGGTCTGTTTGTAACAGCAGTGTTCTCCATGAGTGCCAGGAAGGTAGAGGGACCCACTTAGGAGTGAGGGTAGTCCCAGTCCAGCACCCCACCCCACCCTTTTCAGCTGCTGTTCATTGCCAGTTGGTGAGGTGAGTGTCTTCTGCCTCTCTGGACACGGCCCCAGTGGAGAACACTGCAGGTATTATAAACTAAGTACCTTTTTCACAGCACGGCCTTTCACCATTTTCATATTCCTCCCTCCCCTTCAAATGTGGTCTTTTACTTTTTATAGGTACTTTCTGAAAAGAAAAACTCAGTTTAATCAAAGAGTGGTCCTGAAAGTGTTGAACAGTGCACCCCTTTTTACCATTTTGTTGAATTTAACCTTTCCTTCAGCATCTTTTCTGGTTTGGTCTTTGGAGAGCTGTCTTAAAACGAGGGCTCTTTTATTATATACTGTCAAAGAACTCTGCTGGGAAAGGGGTACTACTTGGATATGGAACAAGGTGGTAGGATAAAAGATCTTATCTGTTGGGAAATTTCAAGAATTAACAATAATTGTCCACAGTGTAAATGAAGTTAATCTCAAAATTACCTTTTTTTTTAAATATAAGGTTTTTAATGCAAGTTTCACCTTTATTCATGTATCTGCAGCTGTCTCCAAAAAGTTCACTTGATGAACATTTCCTACTAACCAAATAAACATCCCCTTTGGAGTAAATTAGGGCAAAGGCCGCTTAGGTCTATGAGGCTGTATCCTTCACAGAGCAAAAGCTTCAAGGCTGGCATGTATTATTCTTGAGGATCGTTATATCTTACATTTTTTAACTGCTGAGAGTTTTGAGGTGTTGGAATTGTATCTTGTTTTCACAGTACTAATATTTCTTCTTTCCCTACTGTTCCAATTTACTTCCACCCACCCGCTTGTCTCATTAGATCGGCCTGGGTCTTTACAACCTTGTGGAAATGTCCTTAGTGGAATGACATTCCAAGGACACAAGCAGACTTAGAAAGGGGGGGAAACAGACTTACTCTCTACATCTCCAGTTCGCTTCCTGTGCAGGGAGTTAAGGCACTGAGCCCTGAGGGTATTTATAGCTCTAATCAAAATGGATAGAACCAAAGCAGAGGCCAGTGTAGATCTGAGCTCCAAGAAAGATCACAAACTTCGGATGTAAGTGCCAGTTTTCCTCAGGTCAGACCCCACACCTCTACAGTTCAGTTAGGAGGGCTGCCTGCCTCCATGAAGCTGACTTTCACCTTGAGTTCTTGAGCTAAATACTTGACTGTCGAGTCAGAAGTTTTCTGGCATAGAAGAGCTTAGGGATCTATGTATCTTAATTCATCTTCTGTCTCTCAGGGTACACATTGCTTTGTACAATGCCCCCAGTATCTCCTTTTGTTATGAATGTGGGTTTTCAGTTTTTTGGAGTTGGAATGGGTATGTGGTATAGCCCTGTGGGGTGTATTTAAAATTAGAAGGTTATCTTGGGTTAGACATGCATTAATCCTGTTTTGGAGCCAGCTCAACTTTGACCCAACCCACTAAGACTTGCCCTTATTAGAGATGCCTGCTCACAACTCTCAAATGCTGCAAAGGTAAGAAACAGGTGGTTCTTCAGCACGCTGAAGACAGTGATCTGGCTCTACAGTTGGCCGTTATCTTGAGAAGTCACCCGGGTAATATTTCCCTGGAGTCACTGAACTTTTGTGAAACCTTCCTCTCCTTTTTATGTACAGCCTCATTTTGTCAAGGTCTGAGGGCCACGCACATTCTCCTTGACCCACACTATATATTTTCTACATCCCCTACTTTTACTCCCCTCATGAGGAGCAAGTCTGAGAACAGACTTCTTAACGTCTCACGGTTACTGGTTGATTAAGGTATATGGATTGTTACCTAAGACTTGAATAAAAGCAACAGGTATTGGGAGATCCTTATTAGTACGGATCTGGTTGAGTATGTATAATAGGCTTTTTATGAGGTGTTGAATTGGTGGTTAAATGTCTTACATGTTCAAGGAATTTTGAACCTGGTATCAATGAAAATGATCTTTGCTCAACTGGTATTTTTCCTTGTCCCATGTTAATTGGATTTCATTTTGGGCTATGCTTAATATTTAATGAAGAAAAATAAACTCTCAAGAGTCTTGCCCTCAAAGTAATTTGGTTGGGAACAGGGTATTGGTGATAACGTAACATGGTTTGTTCTGGGTGCCAATTGTATAGCAAGCCTTGGAGGGGAGGGAGAGGTGAAACACCTAATAATTGCTTTGATGTTAGCCTTAGTGAACAGTCTATACTGCTAACTCCTCTTCCAACAAACTGTTTGCTTCCTTAAGTGATAACCATTTTGAAGTGAAAAATACCTATAGATGTAAATGGACTCCTGCCGATAGGTGGTTGGGGGTTTTTGCCTCAATGTGTTCACTGATCAATCGTCCCTTTCAAAGTCTCCGAGTTCTTCATGCTTGTTGTTGAGATTTGAGATGTTTTTTGGTAACATTGTCTTTTTTCCATCCTTTTTTTTTCTTTCCTAACCTGGTTTCTTCCAGTGCAACTGCAGATAGAAGACCTGACTCGTAAACTGCGCACAGGAGACCTGGGCATCCCCCCTAACCCTGAGGACAGGTTGGGAAACAGTTTTAACCAGCTGACAGTAACGCTTTTACCTTTTTCTCAATACGTTTTACTGGTGGCAACATATTGTGTCAGTTCAATGAAATCCTAGTAAGACGACTGTGATAATACTCTGACCATTCTGGGGCGTAGGGTTTAATTAGCAGTCCATATGGTCAGTCAGTTAGAAAATTGGAATGAAACTTAATTACTAGCAGAATAAAAAGTTACGGGAAAATGGACATCTGGTTTCCAATTGGTAAGCACGTAGATTTTAACCTGATTTCCCCACCCGTAGGGACAGTGAGGTGGCCCGTTAACCAGCCTTTTCAGTAACTGCTTTGGTTGAAAGCCGAGGGTGTAGAGCTTTTCTCACAGGTACACGGTGCAGGGATTAAGAATATTTTTGAGCATCACTGAATTTGAGCAGACCAGAAGCTCAGTCTGGTTAGCTCATTGCTGCAGTCTTCCTGCTCATGGTTTTGAGATGGTTTTAAAATAGATGAGATTTCTAACCAGCTTCCTTCACTGCCAGTGAATTTTCCGCCTTGGCCATTGCCTGGGGGTATTGGGAGGGGCCAGAATATTCTCGCCTGTTTTGGGAAGGCTAGCAACCAACCCTAAATCACCTTTGTTTTTTAAGAGTGTGGTCTTCAAACACCCGTGGTCATGTCCTTTCAGTTTACAATTTCTCTCACCTTTGAAAAGTTAAAAGTCTGAGGGAAATGAACTTTTTAACCAGGAATTTTATTGGCTGGTTGAACTTTGAACAGCTAAATCTGGTCCATTTAATAGAAGGGCAATATGCCTCCCTCTCCGTGAAATTGCTCTTAGTGCATGCGGCATAGTTGAAAACACTTCACTTTAAAAAGTAGTGTTTTTAGCTTTTATTACCCAATTAATGGCTTGTTAAATCAGGAAGATGATGTAATGATTTTAGAAGCCACTCGCTTACGCATCTTTCTGCTGCCCTTTGCCAGGGAACAAATTAACTTAATCTCTCCACATGGGCTCTTTAATTTTACTTAATGAAATTTATTATTTTTTTACCTGCAGATTTTGGTTGGAGGGTTGTGTTGTGTTTTATATATACATATATATATATCTATACATATTTTTTTTTTTTTTTCTAAAGATTTGCATTGTAGGTTGTAGACCACAACTGTTGAGTGCTTTTTTGGCCTTTTTCCCTTTAATAATACGTCTAACAGGTTACCAGGCAATTCCTCAAAAGGTTAAATTTTTAACAAACCTTTGCTTCCTGGAGAAATGGGATTAGAGTTTAGTTGATCTATACGATGCTTCTTTGAAGTGAAGAAGTTGGGCCAATCTAATCTCTAGAATATTAGCTTTTGCCTTTTCACATCCACAATTTGGGAAGAGATTAAACTGTTGTGAGGCTTTTAAATGACCAATTTGGTACTCGTAAACCTTGTTTTGTTGATTAGCCAGAAACGCTTAATTCTAGACAGCTACGGGGTGGGAATTAGAAACGTCAAGCACGTTAGAAATAAAACCAGAGCAGTTTTTTCCTCCCTTGTATTCAGTTTGAAAGAGGGCCTAATGCCTGACTGGTTTTGCTTTTGAGCCCAGGTTGGAGGGAACTGCATGAGTTTCTTACCTTACTGAGGTTATTTCCTAAGAAGGTGTATTCTCAATATTAAGCCACTATGCTATTTTGATGTTGCTTAAGTTGCACAGTTAAAAATGTTTTAAAAATCTCTTGTAGACTTAAATGTATAAGATGATAGTCTAATGAGCTGGGGTATGTTTGCTTTTGTTCATTATTATTGGATTGTGTTAACAGTTTATATAAATGCTAGAAACGGAGGTGTCATTTAGCCGTCATTAGCCATGAACAAACCTGACCTTTTATTCCATCGTGTGTGTAACGTGGTATGACATGGTTCCCTTTAGGCTGAAGACAGTGGGAGCAGCCGAGTTCAGTCCTTGCTCTCCAACTAGGCAAGGTTCTCTCAACTAAACCAAGGGTATAGGAGTCTTGACTACTTTCAGGATGTTTTTTTAATAACCTGATCCACATGGTCTCTTCCCTTCTTGCAGCTGCTACTAAATTTTCATTCAGAATATCAAGCTATGGTCCTTTTTGTAATCTCAACTCAGAATTCTAGGAGTGTAACTTCTCTTTTTTTATTACCGCAAAATCTAGCTGTGGTAAACTGACCATTTTATCATTACTATTTTTTACTTGTAGCAACAGCATTTTACTCCTTAAAAAAATGAGAGAGAGAAAATCTGCTTTCTGGACTTGTAAACTCTGGTGGAGAATCCTAGGTTTTCCCCTTGCCGTTTGCAGGTCCAGACCCTAGACAAGTACTTGACCAAATCTGCATTTGCAGCCTCTAGCAGAAGCTGCTTTAGCACGTTAACGTTTTTCTCTACCCAGACTCCCCAACCTCGAACAGCCAGAAAACAGGTTGACTCCTGGGCCTTGGACACAGCCAGCCAGGCCATTGAAGGAAAAGCAGAGACGAAGCCTTGAACCATCTCTCTCCATTGTGGGGCCAAGTAGCTGCAGCAGCCTTGAGTCCCAGTTGCATTGGGTTAAAGAGCTCATACTTACTATGTGGCAGGGGTGCAGACACTCTTCCTGATAGGGCACGAGCTCTGCAAGAGTTCACATTTTACCTAAACTTTTGGGTTTCCGTGGTTCATAAAGTTGTAATGATGTACAGTTTTTTAAAATGAAAAATCCATATTTGGCAAGAAGACTCCAGAGGATGATACTGTCCTTGCCATTTACAGTCCAAAGATTTTCCCCCAGAAGGGCAGACTTTTTTCTTCTCAACACTTAGAAGCAAGACCTTTTTTTTCTTTCTCACACACACCCCAGTCCCCCTAATGCTAAGCCAGCTTTCATCTCCCCATTCCACACGATCTTGAGTAGCACACGTTACGGTCGGTTCCTCCGAAGAGTGTTGTGTTAGGGTCTGAGAGGCAGAGGGGCTGGGGAAGACTTAATTTTAGCCCATGTGGGATGAGAAGAGTGAAGGCAGAGCAGTAACGGTAATCTGTTTCCCACAGGTCCCCTTCCCCTGAGCCCATCTACAATAGCGAGGGGAAGCGGCTTAACACCCGCGAGTTCCGCACACGCAAAAAGCTTGAAGAGGAGCGGCATAACCTCATCACGGAGATGGTTGCCCTCAACCCTGATTTCAAGCCACCTGCAGATTACAAGTAAGCAGAGGGGCTAGGTTGTCCAGGCCAAGGACACGTACAGATCGTGTGTGATCTGGTGGAACTATTTTGGTGCTAATGTCATACCTCTTGTCCTCAAATCGTGTATAGTTAATACATGGTAGCAAGGTTAGTTCTAAAAGCTGTGGGTTGTGTCCTGTTCAGAAACATGCAGACTCTATGAGTCTTTTCTTTTTTAGACCTCCAGCAACACGCGTGAGCGATAAAGTAATGATTCCACAAGACGAGTATCCAGAAATCAACTTTGTGGGTCTGCTGATTGGGCCCAGGTGAGTAACTGCTACCCTGTGGGCTACAGGATTGTTCTGAAATCGTGAGCTGTGTCGGTCTGAGGCCCAGCTGGGTGCCATTGATGGCTTCCCTTCCTGTTTTTGGTGGGAGTTCACACTTTCTGTGAGAAAATCTCTTCAACGCCATTTTACTGCAGAGAGCTCAAATCTCGTGGATTTGGTGTGGCTGCCCTTAACTCAAAAGAGATCATGGTGGGAAAATCCAACTCTTGCACTCATGGTTTCCTGCCGGTGTGATCCGCCCACTCTGTCCCCTCTGGCACGGGAACTTGCCTATCAAATCTAACAATTCAACTTTTTCTGCCCCTGATAGAGGGAACACCTTGAAGAACATAGAGAAGGAATGTAATGCCAAGATCATGATCCGGGGGAAAGGGTCTGTTAAAGAAGGGAAAGTTGGCCGCAAAGATGGCCAGATGCTCCCTGGAGAAGATGAGCCACTTCATGCCCTAGTTACTGCCAACACCATGGAGAATGTGAAGAAAGCTGTGGAACAGGTGAGGCAGCCAGAAAGGAAGCTTCTTGCTAGAAATCTAGTGGTGGCTCCAGCGCTTTATGTAACTATGCCCCTTGCATCTCCACTAGATAAGAAACATCCTGAAGCAGGGTATTGAGACCCCTGAGGACCAGAATGATCTACGGAAGATGCAGCTTCGGGAGTTGGCTCGCTTGAATGGGACCCTTCGGGAAGATGACAACAGGTGTGTGATCAGTTTAGAGTGGAAAGTGTGCAAAGCTGAAGAACCTGTGGAAGTAGGAAGCTTGGCCGTAGCCCTTGACGTGACTTTTTTTTTTCCCTCTTGTTCCTGGACAGGATCTTAAGACCCTGGCAGAGCTCAGAGACACGCAGCATTACCAATACCACAGTGTGTACCAAGTGTGGTGGGGCTGGACACATCGCTTCCGATTGCAAATTCCAAAGGTGAGGGCCTGGGATTATGGCTTCTTTGTAGCCGCGGTGTTCAAGACATTTCTTGAGTGTGTTGGTTGGTTGCTGTTAACCTTTGGACTCTAGAGAAGCGTCCTTTCTGTGAATGTGGTCTGTATTGGTGTGATGTTAAAGCCCAGGATGATGAGAAGCAGCTTGTGCGAACGCGTGTATTTTGTGCCTCATCTTGAATTCAGGAAAACTAGAAATTTCCATCCTGAGTGTAAATGTTTCCACTGTGGCTCAGTATTAACTACTTTTCGCTGCTTAGGATCGGTTTCAGAAGCCATCTGGATTTTTGACCAGTTTTGAACCAGCACTTGATAGCAACATTTTTCTACTTTGTTCTCCTTTGGAAAACCTGGCAGGTGCTCTAGTCTTGCATAGACCTTCCTTCCCTCAAACTGGGAATGTAGGATTTGATGAAGGTTTGCTCTTTGGAAGAGCCTGTGCTTTCCTGGCTCGTGTGGCTGGCTGGGTGCTCTCGATCTTTACTGTTGTGGCAGAAATCCACGTGGTCTCCCAGATGCAGAGCTGGGCACAGAACTGAGGACTTGATGAGACTGTTTTGAGGAATGGTTAGAAAGGATGATTGAATTCCTCAAAAATTCTTAAGTCAGTTCTACCGGATAGAACTTTACTTCTTAATTTTTTTTCTCTTCTTTCTTTCTTTCTCTGTGTTCCTTATCCTGTCTTCAGGCCTGGTGACCCCCAGTCAGCTCAGGATAAAGCACGGATGGATAAAGAATATTTGTCTCTTATGGCTGAACTGGGCGAAGCACCGGTGCCGGC